CAAACATGACTGACACTGAAACCAAGTGGGGTCTGGTGGTTTACAGCAGATGCTTTTGAGCCTGATAATTTCTGAATTTGATAGAATCCATAAATCACACACAAAAAATACTACATCAGTCTACTCTGGTTGAGGCTTTTCTCCAATCTAGTATGAAAGAGCTGAAGTTGATGCCAGGAATATCACTTACTAGCTTTCATATTGCAGTCCGTAAGGTTTGTTATTTAACAAAAAAGCCAATATATTTTCTCTTCCCTATCAGGAATTTCTGACAGGTGGAGGAGCTTACTAACAGGGATAAATTCGGCAGCATAAAAAACTCCACGTAAAGATTACAATATTATACTTCTGTCTGAATCAAATGCAGCATGCTAGATGTTGTCTACATTTCACTTAAAACCAACTGCTAGGGTTTATGAACAGTGCAAACGCCTGAAATGCCGCAGGACAACCTTGCTTCCTTATGCTGAGCAAACACTTAGAAGATCATCAAATCTTGAAAATATGCTAATGAGCCACAAAGTCTGATTAAAATCAAAGGTGCAGTGTTCCAAAAACACTCTATAATTTAGCTAAGTATGGCCTAGGTTTCATCATTGATGACAGTACTTTAAGGCAAATTTTGCAAAGATAAGGAAGTCTCAGGAATAAAAATAGTTCCCAATAGGTCCTTATTAGGTTATTTTCAGGAAGCAGAGTTATGACCTATGAACTGTGTAAAAGTAAGAGAAAAACAAGCTACATATACAGACAACTTACTTGCTAAAATGTGAACTCTTAAGGCTATAACACAAAACATGACATTTTCAAGTAATTTGATGAATATTCATAAATAAGTTCAAGTTATGAGCAGATGTGAACAAAGATGAATATATTCTATTAATTATGGAGGGTAGAATTATTGGAAGTATTTTTCATAGATACTGTCTCTATGGGAGGTAAAATGCTCACATATTCAGCTTTGGTTAAAACCAAAGTTATCTAATTAGCATTTTCATCTAATTTATTCCTTTTAGTGAGACATGCTTTTTGTAAATTTCAAGGAAAACTTTTTGGAGAAAAGTTTGGAATACAACATATAAAACAAAAATGAGAAGCTGTCTCCAAAGATAGACCAAAAAAAATTATCTGAAAAAGCAAAACAACAAAATTGGAAAGTGATAAACTCTATTGTTTCATTGATAATAAGATGAGACGTAAACAGAATAACCTAGGATATTCTGTATTTATTATATTTGAGGCACAAGACATAATTTACCTGAAGAATTTTAATTAAAGTCACACCCAACTAATTAGAGGAAAAAACTAATTCTCTCTCTTCTGACTGAATGATTATATAATGAATACTGGGTTATCTTGTTATCTAGTTATTGTGTAAGATCATTATAAGTCAGAGCTATTGATAACCTTGTAGCTAAATGTGTAAACAACTTTGCTTCATTTTTATTTTCTGATTTCAGATTATTTATAAGAATTGATTGTGAATAGTGTTCTCACAACACATTTCACACTCCGGACACTTGCGAATTTCACTTCCATTTCTTTGCTTATGGTAGACCCAGGCTCTGTCCTATGGAGAATAAACTGCAACTTGAGGAGTTGGAATAGAAATATACCAAGTGTTACTTACAGACTCACCTTCTCCATCTTCCGTAGCATATCTTCAGTGTTTCATTATTTTATAAATATTTTTAAAAAGATAATAGATAACTTACGGGCCTAGATTCACCAGCAATTTTTTGTATCAACTTGATGCCAGGAATATCACTTACTAGCTTTCATATTGCAGTCCGTAAGGTTTGTTATTTAACAAAAAAGCCAATATATTTTCTCTTCCCTATCAGGAATTTCTGACAGGTGGAGGAGCTTACTAACAGGGATAAATTCGGCAGCATAAAAAACTCCACGTAAAGATTACAATATTATACTTCTGTCTGAATCAAATGCAGCATGCTAGATGTTGTCTACATTTCACTTAAAACCAACTGCTAGGGTTTATGAACAGTGCAAACGCCTGAAATGCCGCAGGACAACCTTGCTTCCTTATGCTGAGCAAACACTTAGAAGATCATCAAATCTTGAAAATATGCTAATGAGCCACAAAGTCTGATTAAAATCAAAGGTGCAGTGTTCCAAAAACACTCTATAATTTAGCTAAGTATGGCCTAGGTTTCATCATTGATGACAGTACTTTAAGGCAAATTTTGCAAAGATAAGGAAGTCTCAGGAATAAAAATAGTTCCCAATAGGTCCTTATTAGGTTATTTTCAGGAAGCAGAGTTATGACCTATGAACTGTGTAAAAGTAAGAGAAAAACAAGCTACATATACAGACAACTTACTTGCTAAAATGTGAACTCTTAAGGCTATAACACAAAACATGACATTTTCAAGTAATTTGATGAATATTCATAAATAAGTTCAAGTTATGAGCAGATGTGAACAAAGATGAATATATTCTATTAATTATGGAGGGTAGAATTATTGGAAGTATTTTTCATAGATACTGTCTCTATGGGAGGTAAAATGCTCACATATTCAGCTTTGGTTAAAACCAAAGTTATCTAATTAGCATTTTCATCTAATTTATTCCTTTTAGTGAGACATGCTTTTTGTAAATTTCAAGGAAAACTTTTTGGAGAAAAGTTTGGAATACAACATATAAAACAAAAATGAGAAGCTGTCTCCAAAGATAGACCAAAAAAAATTATCTGAAAAAGCAAAACAACAAAATTGGAAAGTGATAAACTCTATTGTTTCATTGATAATAAGATGAGACGTAAACAGAATAACCTAGGATATTCTGTATTTATTATATTTGAGGCACAAGACATAATTTACCTGAAGAATTTTAATTAAAGTCACACCCAACTAATTAGAGGAAAAAACTAATTCTCTCTCTTCTGACTGAATGATTATATAATGAATACTGGGTTATCTTGTTATCTAGTTATTGTGTAAGATCATTATAAGTCAGAGCTATTGATAACCTTGTAGCTAAATGTGTAAACAACTTTGCTTCATTTTTATTTTCTGATTTCAGATTATTTATAAGAATTGATTGTGAATAGTGTTCTCACAACACATTTCACACTCCGGACACTTGCGAATTTCACTTCCATTTCTTTGCTTATGGTAGACCCAGGCTCTGTCCTATGGAGAATAAACTGCAACTTGAGGAGTTGGAATAGAAATATACCAAGTGTTACTTACAGACTCACCTTCTCCATCTTCCGTAGCATATCTTCAGTGTTTCATTATTTTATAAATATTTTTAAAAAGATAATAGATAACTTACGGGCCTAGATTCACCAGCAATTTTTTGTATCAACGTGCTGGGAAAACAGCAACACTAATCATCAATTCTCTACAAACCTTGACAAACTTACCTTGCGGTACATCTCTTCAGCAAGAGTCCTTCGTGAAGGCCATTCAATTGTTGATATGTCTCTCTTAGATCATTTTAAAGAGTAGCTCCCTCTTCCTGCTCCTTCCCAAATTGTCATCCTCATTCCTCTACCCCTTTCACTAAGCATTGCACTTATCCCCCACATCTAATATGCCCTATGCATATGATAATGAACAAAATTCTAGGTAGGATTTACATATGCAATTGCAAGTATCTTTGGAATCAGGGGGGGACAGTTAGTTATCTAGTGTAAAGAGGTAATTAATGAAAAAAATTCAACCTGACATTTCACAGATCACAAGGAGGCTCTCACAAGAAAAAAATTTGGTCATGATGACTTCTACACAGTTGATTGCCAGAGGAGCTTGGAAAGAGGGTGGATTAAGAGGATCCTGAGCTCACCTCCTCCCACAGGCATATCAAGGCTACAACTGTATACAGTGTAACTCAACCTGAAGACCAGCAGGACAGCTCTTCCACAGCTTAAGGTATAAAGAAAAAAGTCACATGAAGAAGGGTAGCATAGATACAGTGGGGAACCAGACTCCACGGTGACCCACAGAGGGAGGGCTATCACAGGTACAGAGGTCCTTCCTGAGGAGCAAGGGGATCAAGTCCCATGTTGGACACCCCCTGGCCCTGGGGATCTGCAGTGAGAAGATGAGTACCTGTAACAAGTGGCTCTGAAAATAAGGTATGCTTAACTCGGGAGGGCGCCAGTGTGGGAAGGTCTACAGTAGACAGACTGCTCTTAAAGGGCCAGTGCACTGCCTCACTCACTCTGAGACCCAACACAGAGGTAGCAGTTTGGAAGTGCCTGGGTTTTGTGTGAAAGGCATTTACTGACTATATTTAGGGTATGTGCCAGAGGGACAGGGACCTGTACAAACTTTGGGGACAGAAGTGCTGGCATGCACCATTTTTCTTGCCCGTATGAATTAAATGCTTCTGTAAATTTCCTGGAGAAATTTAAAAATTTTAATTTAAAGATAAGAATGCCATTTTAGTGAGTGATTAAAAAACTAGGCATTTACTAGCTGATTTAGAAAATATTAACTTGAATATTGCAACCAAAACAAATCTTGTTCCATATCTCTTAAGTAATCAAAGGAAATTTTATAAAAAACAAAGTGTTATTTTGCAAATAGAATGCAAAAGAAAAGGTAGGCAGAATTTCTCTAGAAACATAGGACATTTGCTCTGTTTAAGTAATATGAACAAGAACCTGGGGGTGCCAATGATACAGCTAAAGGAGGGCTTGGAAATTATTACATATTATCACATCTGTCCCAATTATATCTCCTAACAGCTCTGGAATTAATAAATATTCATAAGTGCCTAAGACCTGTGGGAAATGTGTATAGTGCACAGATTTATAAAATATTTCTTTTTTCCAATGAATATATTTATTCCTAGAGATAAATTTCAAACCACATAGCCACAGGATGTAAGCACCTATCAGATGGGAGAGCAAACTACTTCCAAACAAGCAACACAGAGGGAGATCTTCTTTCCATATGTATGAATATTTGCTGGCTATGTAATTCAAATATCAGGAACAGTGTACCTGTTTACTGGGGACTGAAACTTACCAGTACTTGTAAGGAAGTTAACATTTCTCATCACGCCTTCAGTGTAAGACCCTGGTTCGTAACCGTCCATTTCGCCTGCGACAATGTGAGCAACTCTTGCTGCCCGTCCTCTGATAGCGCCTGCAGCACGGTCTAAATTATCAGCATCTTGGTCTCTCAAGGCTATGATACATTTGTTGACATCTTCTAGGATATGGCTTTCTGTAAGTAAATGGATTGAATTAGTTTTGTGTGTGTGCTTTTTTTTCCAACTCCACGAATCTAGCATCTTATAACTTACGTTAACTTCTGACTTCAGAAGCGGTACACATTGAGAATGGAAGACATTGGCAATTAGGAAGGAAATAAACAGATATGATTTTGTTTATAATTCTTTAATAGCAAAATTGGCGAAATACAGAATTTTATATTTTTCTCAATACTTTTTATAGATAACATGGTGTTTTAGATTCCAGTTACAGTAGACTAAAATTTAGAATTGAATGACTTGTACATAGAAATTAAGGAAAGTTTCTAAATTAAAACAAAAATGAACTATAAAATGATAGAATATTTTATTTTGATAATAGCAACATTATACAATTACAAAACTCAAAAAAAGCTGTCCTAAATCTGTAGAAAAAATAAAACTATGGATTTCCATTCAACTAATATTCATTGATGTATCATGAGATTTGACACAACTACAGAAATCTTATAAATTAGTGAATAATGAAAAATGTGAAATAAACAGTTTATATGGTGAAGCAACAACTTCAGTTTGTCTGTGAAAACACTTATGTATAAAAAGCACTTTTAAAAGACTGATTGACTTGAAGCAAATTATCTCAGAGAAAGTTGCCCACTCAGAAGAGTGTCTCCAGACCTCTTTCTTTCCTTCCCCTGCTTCATGACTAGCGCATGAAGACAGCATGGAGTAATTAGTATAGTACAACGTATTCTTTTTCTGTAAAATGATTAATAATCCCCAATAAAACTAATGAGAGGAGCTGAACAAATATGTGGAATATCAAAAAGCATGGTCAATGATATGTCTAAGACATTAAAAGAATACTTTAAGAATTAGTGATTGGCTTCTGCTTTAACAAATATTCACTCAGAATCTTTAGACTCTATTGCTGAAAACATACATAGAAAACTGCTACAACAAAGACCTCACTAATTCCAGAAAGCAGTTATCTTTCCCTGTCTCTCTCCCTCTCGTTCCCTCCCTCCCTTTCTCTGTGTGTTTTACTATCTGCAGGCAAGCTACACAGGACAGGCATTCATAAAGTGATTTCCTACAGTCACACTTTCCTGTTATTGTGTACAGCATAAAATTCAATTATCAAAAATTGTGGTCCCTGGTGACCTTATACCAGATGCCTAATCATTCCTCTGCAGGACCCTTATGCCTATCAGTTATATTTATTTTATGATTTCCTCAAACCATTGTGTTTTTTCATACTCTGTTCCTGTGGGTATATTGGAATCCTGAACCAATTCCAAAGAATATGTGTGAAGTCTTCCCCACATCAACGAGCAATTCTCTGGATGCCAACAGGGTGTTGTATGATTAAATTCCAACATTACCTGGAGATATCCCTATAAGATTGCTCCACCCACCCCCATTTCCGAGCCAGTTGCCAGCCTGGCCGATCACATGTACTTCTGACGGGTTGACTGTAAATCAAAGGTTCCCATACCCTCCTCATTGGATTTGAATAATTTTCTAAAATGGTCACAGAACTTGAAGAAATATTTTACTTAGTAGATTTAACTTTCATAATTCTGGAACATCCAGTTGGAAGAGATGCATAAGAGAAGGTATGGGGAAAGGGCTCAGAGTTTCCAAGCATTTTCCAGGTGCAACCACTTTCCCCACATCTCCAAGTATTCACCAACCTGGAAGCTCTCTGAACCCCATCCTGTTGCATTTTTATGGAAACTTGATTACATAAGCATGTGATTAAATCATTGGCTCCTGGCTATTGAATCTATCTTTAGCCCCCATTCCCTTCCGGGAGATCAGTGGGTGGGACAGAAAGTTCCAACCCTCTAATCACTGAGTTGGTTCCCCTGGTAACCAGCCCCAACTTTAGTGGGAAGGGGGATGCAAAAGTCAATTCATTAACATAACAAAAAACACCTTTACTGCTCTCATCACTTAGGCAATTCCTAGGATTTTAGGAGCTCTGTGCCAGAAATGGGGACAAAACCAAATAGCTATTTCTTATTATAAATCATCATATCACAACTGCCAATCTCCTTTAGTCTGCTTGGTCAACTCCTATTATTCTTTAAAGACTAGCCAAATGTTCCTTCCTCAGGAAATCCATGCTTACCTAAAGCAAGACAAATTTGGTTCCATGTTGTTTAGGATTATCATAAAATAGTATGTATGTTTCCACTAGAGCTTCTTCCCATTTTAATGATACACTAATGAAATTTTCTCTAGTAGACTAGAAATAGACTGTGAAATATATATGACTGTAACTATTTTATCTTACTGCTTGAAGTATCATATCTAATCTCTAGTACAATATGTAGAACCTGTTAGACTAACAAGAATGTTTATTGAAAGAATGAATGCAGTCTTCTCATAAGATGCACCTGGGAGTAGAAATTATTTTGTCTAAATCCTGAATCGTGGATTATGAACATAGGTAGACACATTTCTGTGACCTTGAATTTAGTCAATTTAACCTATATCAAGGACAGTCAGGTCATTTGCATGAAAAAGATTAAACACTGAAAAACTTCATTCTAAATTCACCAGAGTTTTAACCTAATTTGTAGCATTCAGTTATGAATGTGCCATTAATGCCTATCATAAATCCAAGCACAGTCCCATCTCAGCAGAAAGCACATGTGTATCATAACCATCATATTTCCTCTGGAACTGAAGTACAAGTTTAAATGTGGAAGGCATAATAACCATCAGTTTTCTTTTTTTTTAAATCCACAGATGTGCACTTTAATGACACATTAAGAAACTGTTAAATTTTAAGTATGTTGGTGAAGTTTTTTAAACAAGCACAACATATATGTAGAGAATGAATATTTAATCTATATCTACTAAAGATGCTGAGTTTTAGATGGCAGAGCTGTTTTTGAAAAATTTTGTGAAAATTACTTAAGGAAAAAAACGTTAATTCTTGAAAGATTAAGATCTAATAAATTAAGTAATTTCTGTTTAGTTAAAGGTAAAATCATACCTGCCACAAATTATTTTTTTCCTAGTGAATTTTGCACAAGAAAAAAATATAAAAAGAATATTCATTAGCAGTGAATTGAATGTTCACCTTTTCTATAGAACAAAAATATACATGCTCACCAATTTATTTTAATAGTTAAAGCAGAGAACAAAAATGAAGCACAGATTTTCTGGTTCTTTTTGCTTGGTGTATTGGAAGTTTGTGTGGTTATTGCTTTAGATTGAGCAATACTAACAGATCAGGTAATCTGCAGTTGTCAAAAACTGCTAATTACCTTCACTGCCCTGAAAACAGTCACTTTAGTTTTTGGAATATTCGGTATGTTAATGTTCTTTTGTTGGGGGTTGAGTTTATTCTCCTCAGTTCTTGTCCCTGCTGCAACAAAGAATTGAAGGGCAGAAACACAGTAGTGAAACGGAGTTAAGGTTTTATTTGAATGTACGCCAAGGGGAGGAGTGGGCCAGAGTCAAGGTAGACAAAGGCAGGTTTACTTGAATAAAACAGGGAGGTAAGAGAAGTTCAATGAACTCCTGTTCAGCATAGGGAACATCCGCTGCCAACTCCTGAAGCCAGGGCCACCTGCCATTCAATGTCTGCTTGAATCTGCACCATGCTGGGACTAAGACCCTACCATCTCAGGATTTGGGGGAGCTGCAGAGCACTGGATGGAGTGATGTTCAGGGAACTTCCCAAAAGCAAGGAAAAGAGATTTTCAGCAGGCTACCAAGGAGCATGATCATAGAGCTGCAGTTCCCTCCCAGTCACCCAGGCGAGGGGAACTTGCAAGCCCAGATCAGAGCTCTCAGCAGGCTCTCTACTTATCTAGAGTAGAACAGAGAGTGACATACTGAAAGAAAGGCTAGTGTGGGCATCCTCAGAGAGGAGGCTCTGTTAAGGACTTGGAGTCTCGGGTGTTATAGGGCTTTTTGGGTAAGGGTCAGCATAAGACATGATGCAGATGATTTATAATTCCTTTGATGTTTTGTCTTCAATGTAGCATTATTTAGGTGACTTTGTTGGCCTGGATCTCAGCATTCTTCATTCACATAGGTTTATTTACACTTCTGAGGTCTGGCTCCTGCCCTTGTTACAAAGTTATTTGATTAAGGGACTAGAAGAAGAGGAAAAAAACAGCATATAGGTTAAGTTAAAGAATAAGCTGGGCCTTTTTGCAGGCTAAATAGATTTTACAATGGCATTATCTAATTGATCCAACAAAAACATGGGCTTGGATGCTTTTATTTAACTGGGGAATATCCAGGCATTCCAAGCTGCTCTTGACCTTTGAAACTTCAACTAATTAACTCATTAATTCTGTGAGTCTTCTCTGGCTCTTTGGCTTTATTTGGTTAACTTGTTGAGTCCCTCTTAGTGGGCTTTACTGGCCTATTCTTCCTCTACCTACTCATATCTATTTTACTGCCTAACGTTTTTTTAAGCAGTGAAAAATGTGAATTAACCACAACCTAAAAAATCTTATAGGAAGGTATTATTAATAAACTTCTAAACTAAGAGGATGATTTAAGTTTGAGATCTAATGTAGCAGCAAAATTGACACTATAGAAGTAACTTTTTCAAGAGCATGGGAATGCATCCAGTTACTTGAGTTTTGGGTCTGCCCAATAAAGGCTACTGACTATGGTGCAGAGCTATTGATTTTCAATAATTTTCAGTATGGGTATAAAAAATCCTGAAGACTATAACTATGGCTATGGGTTTTATTTTTATTAAAATATATTTACCTTGGTAGCCTCTTACACCAAGTTAAGAACTGAGCCTGTGTCAAAATAAGCTTTTCTGAGCAGTATGCACAATTATGTATGAAATTGGCAACTAGAAAAAGGGTGACAGTTCTCTGTGTGTCAAGATGGCCTTTCATATGTCTTAGATTGGTAGTCAGCTTCCAGTTCATTTATTATGAAATGTGGCAGAAATAAATCCAGTAAGTTGAGAAAAAAAGAAGAAGTCATACTTAAATTAATCATGTTTAAGAATTATAGAGGT